TTGTAGGCCGGTCCACAGGCCCCGGGGTGCCCCGCATCGAGGTAAGCAAATAGCACATCTCCGTGAGGAGCCACGCCAAGCAGAGATGGCTGTCCTGCCCTCCCTAAGCCAGCCTTCTCCGCCCCCACCCGAGAAAATGGAGGCAGCTCTGTTGTGGGCGCCTAGCCTGGTGTGGTAGGCGGGAGCCAGGCGGGCGGGGAGCAGTCGGGCTTCGCCCCACAAGTGGGGCTGGGCTGGGGGTGACTCACAGAGCTCGCAGAGTTGGGCCGGTCCGGCGTGTTTCAGTCCGTTTCTGCGCAGTTTTTTGCTGACTCTCTTGGCCTTTGTTGTCTGGGCTGCCCGTTCGTTCCCGCAGCCGGGCTTGGGTGCTCTCAGGAGTCCTCTTCTGTGTCGGCCCCAAAACCTCGTACCTGCTGCCGCTTGTTTGTCAATGTAGGATCATTGTTGAAAGAATTATTCTCCTCTTTTCCTCTGTTTTTGTTTTCTCTGGGCCCCCTGCAGATCGGATGGTGCCCGCCCCTACTGAGCATAGATATTTCCCACCCAGTTTACTCAGGCTCACATACTAATCTCCTCTGGAAACACGCTTAAAAAGAATGCTTTACCACATTTCTAGGTATTCCTTAATCTAGTCAAGTTAACACGTAAAATTAACTATCATAATTGTAGAACTATTTCTCCCTTCAAACCTGTCAGTTTGCTTCATACATTTTGGGGTCTGATAAGTTTTAAAACTATATATATATATATATATGTTACATTCAGGCCACAACCTCCTGTGATTTCTTTATATTCTGAATATATTTTTAGGATTCATCCATGTTGATGTGAGGTGTTGTGGTTCCTCTGTTTTCACTGCTCCATGGGGTTTCTTTGTATAACTGACTGTACTACAGCTTTTTCTGTGTCCTTTGTATCTCCACACGACATTTCGAAATCAGCATGTCAATTTCCACACCAAAAAAAAAAAAAAAATAGGAAGCCTGCTGAGATTTGATTGGCATCTCATTGAATCTGTAAATCAATCTGAGAAGCATTGACAGAACAGTAGTGGGACTTCAATTATCCATAGTTTAGATAGTTCAATATTGTCCCAAAGCTCTGGGTTGTTCTGTTCTCCCTCTCCCTTTCTCCCTCTCTTTTACTCTTTCTTCTCTTTATATTCCGTTTGGATGATCAATTTTACTGATTCTTTTCTCTGCTGTATCCAATCAAAAATTATTCATCTCCAGTATTTTTTTCTTACATTTCTGTTTAATGGTTTCGAACATTTTGCNAAATTATTCATCTCCAGTATTTTTTTCTTACATTTCTGTTTAATGGTTTCGAACATTTTGCTAAAATTGCCTATCTGTTCAATATGTTGTTCACCTTTTCAACTTAATATTTTATAATGTTCATCTTGGTTTTTTAAAGTCTTTTTTGATGGTTCTGACATCTAGGTAGCTCATTCCTTGGTCTGGTGTTGTTGACTACTTTATCTGTTGAGAAAGACTAATTTGTCTTTGGTGTTGCTTTTTTGTGTGTTTCCTAACTTTTTATTGTTATATTGAATGCTAAACCTTGTGTGTAAACAGATAGTAGAGACTGAGGTAAACAGTATTTCTGCCTAGAAAAGGGCATGGCCTTTTAGTCTTGTCAGGTTGTTAGTGTGGAATGGTGTTTTTGTTTGTTTTTGTTTTGGCAGCTGGCTGGTCCAGGGATGAGTGTACAGTGTTGAGTGGGCTGCTGCTGTCTTGTGCTAGTGTGGGGCCTGGAGGGTTCTGAGTGTTCCTGCTTGAGATGTAGCTCTCAGGGGGCCCTGCCAGATCTACCTCCTGTGCGACAGGAGGGAGGAGAAGGAGCCTTTCTCTCTGCTCTTACCCTGCCTCCAGCAGTAGGCAGCTGTTGTTAACTTGGTACAGGGTTCATTGAAAGGGTGGGGGATTTCTCAGGGTCTTTTGGGGTTCTCAGTTCTCTTGTTTCAGCTTGTTTTGGGCAGGCCTTGTGGGTGGGACTTTCTCCGATGTTCTTGTCACTGGAGGTTTTGATGGCATGCCCTGGTTCTTTTCTGACTCTGTGCACTGAGTATGTTGGGATTAATTTGAACAGTGTCGAGAAAAGACCCTCCAAAAGCTCTTGGCATTTCCCTGTAAAAACTCCAGCACTCTCCAGAGTGATCTTTGAAGAGGGTAGCTCTGACCCTGTTCCCTTAAAGCTCCTCTAGTGCACTCCATGGCCGCTCAGGTCAAAGGCTTTGAGCTCTGCCGTCTCGTGCCCCTCACATTGACCTTCTTCCAGTTACTCATTTACGTCTTGTCCTTCTCCCTGGCCCCAGACCATCAGTTTTGAGAGCAGATGTCTTTTTTTTCCTACGTATTGCTTGAGAAAAAAACAGTGCCAGTTACCTAGTAGGGCCTCGGCAACTATCTTGAGTGAATAAGTCCGAGTGCTGTTTTCTGTTCTGCCCTGGAAAATCTTGCCAGAGTCCCTCAAGCTTGGGAAGGGGCCTCGTCAGTTGCTCCAGCCCCGAGCCTG